ACTCTCCCTCTTACTCTCCCCCTCACTTCCCCCCTCACTTCCCCCCATTCCCGAGGGCTTGCGCTTTGTAACGTCCTGTCGTTATCTTGCTCGCGCCAGTCGCGTCAGACTTATCAAGGCGAATGACTGCCAATGCTAAATTCTACGCAGTTGTCTCCCTCTTCCCCGCGTGCACATAACTTGCGCCGGGCCAAGCTCGTTGTGCTTCTCAACGGCCCCCAACCCCGCCCTGTTGCAGTCCCACCAAGCCTGGCGGCCGGCTAGAGATGCTCTCCAACGTGAAGAGCCAGATGTCCGGGTGGCTGGGCTCGGCCGCCATTCCCTCCATGCCGGCCATGCCCGCCATGCCCGCCATGCCCGCCATGCCCTCCATGCCCGCCATGCCGTCCATCCCTGGGCTGCGGAAGGGCGGCGACGACCAGGCCGCTGACGGCGCGGCGGCCACCACCGTCGAGTCGCCCGCCTCAGAGAAGTCCGTCAAGGGCTCGCCGGGTGAACCCGAGAAGGACGACGACAACTCCAGGTGGGTGTGGTCGATCGGCGCCGAACACGTTTTGCAGTCATGCTGGACCGCGTACAGCTGTGCTGCTGCCGGGTGGCCACGTTGCGCAGGCCGCGACGGTAGCAACGGTAGCAAACCCGACCGTACGTCTGCATTCAGTGCAGTATAACCTCAGAGGGTGCAAGGCCTGAAGGGCACACGACGTACGAGAGTCGATAGTGTTGCACTTTGCGATCAAAACGATACGGAACGCAAGGTTGAACGTGCCCGTCTTGTCGACAGCGCGACGGGCGGCGCCGACAGCAACGCCGAGGTCTCGGACAACGAGGCGGAGGATCTGGAGAAGGACGGAGCCGTCGCCGGAGGTGGGTGTCGAGCCGTGGACCTTTATGGCCGATACGTCTGTTCTGTGTCAACCGCAATAATAACAACCCGTGTCCAACGTGTTCCCAGTGTCTACCAAGGCGACGCAGGCGGCCAAGTCCTTCGGAGGCTTTCTGTACTCGGCCGTGAGCAAGGCGGGTGCGAAAGTGAGCGAGGCTGGCGCCAAAATCAAGAAGACTGTCGAGGAAAACGTGAGTACGGATTGCACTGCGTTTTTATCTGGGACACTATTTCTAGTCCCTTATGTTGTTTCTATGCAGGAGTTCAAGTGCGGGTATCCTCCTCACTCGAATGTCTCGTAGAGTACGTTGTGAGAGGCTGTGCTACTCGAATACACCCGTAAAACAACCATTTTTCGAGGTCAAACTGTTTGAATCTGTGAAAGTCCCACGCTGACTTCACTGCCACACAATGGACTGAAGTTAGTGAAACTCGCCCCTGCGACAAACACCACGCTGATCTCCATCACCTGGTCGTCCATTTCAGTCCGCGATGCTAACGATCCCCTTACGGCCCCCGGCGCCGCGTCATCCATTGCGGTTACTGCGATATGTTTGTTGGTTGTGTTCCCACCCCGCTCCCCTCCCCCTTATGACCCGTATAGCTCCGCAGTGCCGCGTTTGCCGCCAGACATTCAATTTAGCGCTCGCCTGTGGTATGTATAAATCTCGAACTCTCCAATAGCAACCGGGGATATGGGGGGGGGGGGGAGAGGACATCAAGTACGGATGTAATAATGATTAAAAAAACAAACAAACGACAACAAAACAAACAATCGTTGGGGTGCAGATTCGGAAAAGGAAGCGCGATGTGAAGTACGCATGTTGATTGGAACAGGCTGTTAGCAGGGGCAGGCGAGCCCACCCCGAGCATTGCAGGCCTGCGTGTCCACGTGTCGTGTATACGTGACTCGGGCGTAATCTCGCGCTTGCAGAGCGGCGCTGCGGTTGTACTGTCTAGGCCCACCACCCGCTGAGCGGCTCATGCACCCT